AATTGAAAATAGGTATTTAAACAAAAACTCGCCTATAATCCCAGCACTCTGGGAGACCGAGGCAGGTGGATCACCTGAGGTCAGGAGTTTAAGACCAGCCTGGCCAACGTGGTGAAAAACCGTGTCTACTAAAAATACAAAAAAGTAGCCAGGCATGGTAGCATGTGCCTGTAATCCCAGCTACTCAGGAGGCTGAGTCAGGAGAATGGCTTGAAAGTTGAGGTTGCAGTGAGGCGAGACCATGCCGCTGCACTCCAGCCTGGGTAACAGAGCGAGACTCCATCTCAATAAATAAATAAATAAACAAACAAAAACTCATAGGAAAATGTTCATAGCAGCCCTGTTCCCAATAGCCAAAAGGTAGAAACAACTCAAATGTTCCATTAAGTGCTGGACTCGGTGGCTCACACCTGTAATCCAGATACTTTGGGAGGCTGAGATAGGAGGATTGCTTGAATCCAGGAGTTTGAGACCAAGTATAGTGAAACTTTGTCTCTGCAAAAGCAAAAATTTTAAAAATTAGCTGGGTGCAGTGGTGTGCCTATAGTCCCAGCTGAGGTGAGGGGATTGCTTGACCCTGGGAGGTGGAGGTTGCAGTGACCCAAGATCATGCATCACTGCATTACAATCTGGGCGAGAGAATGAGACCCTGTCTCAAAAAAAAAAAAAAAAAAAAAGGCCGGGCAGTGGCTCACACCTGTAATCCCAGCACTTTGGGAGGCCAAGGTAGGTGGATCACAAGGCAAGGTTGGGGGTTCGAGAGCAGCTGGCCAACATGGTGAAACCCCTGTCTCTACTAAAAACACAAAAATCAGTTGGGCATGGTGGCAGGTGCCTGTAATCCCAGCTACTCGGGAGGCTGAGGCAGGAGAATTGCTTGAACCAGGGAGGCGGAGGTTGCAGTGAGCTGAGATCGCACCACTGCCTTCCAGCCTGGGTGACAGAGTCTCAAAAAAAAAAAAAAAGCAAACCAAATGTTCCATTAAGTGATGAATGGATAAAAATAAATGTGGCATACCTATACAATAGATATTATTCAGGAATGAAGTATTGATACATGCTGCAATCTGGATAAACCTTAAAATATGATACGCTGACTGGAAGAATCCAGACACAAAGGACACATGATTATATGATTCCATTTGTAGGAAATATCCAGAATAGGCAAATCTAGAGAGAATGTGGATCTAAAGACACAGAGAGGCTATGGCTGGCTCGGGTAGGGAGAGGGGAGAATGGGAATTCACTGCTTAAAGAATCTGGGATTTCCTTTTGGCCTGCTGAAAATGTGTTGCAACGAGAGAATGGTAATGGTCACATAACATTGTAAGTGTAACTTAATGCTACTGAACTGTATACTTTAGAAGGATTAAAATGGTACAGTTTATGCTATGTGTATTTGACCAAATTTTTAAAAAATCACTAAGGTTACTTGTGAATCTGATAAAATTTCAGTGGAAGGAAAGGACAACAAGGCTCTTTGATGTAAAATTATTAAAAGAGTTGGAAGAGGTGGCCCCTCTATCAGTAGGGGAGAGACGAGAGGGAATGGTAGTTCTGGGGCTTGGAGGTAGCTGGTGGTGAAACCTGGCTCAGTCTCGCCCTTTGGGGACTGTGTTTGTGTCCTAAGATGGTGGATGTGTGGGTGACTTGAGCAAGTTGAAACTTGGGAGCCCAGACTTGGGCACCCTCAAAGGATAGCAGTGACCACGGTAGGAAGCCCAGGGACCAAGATAGGAAGTCCCAAGATCCAGCGGTGATCTGAAAAAGCAAGAGATCGAGCTCTGGCTTGGTGGCATCCCCATGTCAGCAGAGCTGGGGAGCAGCTGACCCCTTTAGACAAGCCTGGCTCTCTGGTCTGTCCTCACCCTGCGCTCCCTTCACCAGTTTCTCTTAAATGCTGGGTCCTGCAGGCCTGGCAGATTGCTATTTCTGCCTCAGTTTGCCCTGCATCCCTCCCAGCAGGAGAGACAGTAGTTCCTGACTATCAGACCAGCAGGTCTGAGTTGTGACTTTAAGAAGAGAGGAGGAGCAAGGAGGCCACCCTTCTGGGCACCTGGGGTCCCTGGAGAGACAGGAGGGGACCATGGCCTAGAGAGGGAAGCACTGACCTGGGCATGTGGAATGTGACTGCCCCAGTTCTACATGCTCATTCCAGTTCAGGCAACTGTTCCTCCAGAATACACAGCTACTGCCTCATTTAAAATGAATGGAGCTGGCCGGGCGCAGTGGCTCACACCTGTAATGCCAGCACTTCGGGAGGCCGAGGTGGACAGACCACCTGAGGTCAGGAGTTCAAGACCAGCCTGGCCAACATGGCAAAACCCAGTCTCTACTAAAACGACAAAAATTAGTCAGATGTGGTGGTGCATGCCTGTAATCCCAGCTACTTGTGAGGCTGAGGCAGGAGAATTGCTTGAACCCAGGAGGCGGAGGTTGCAGTGAGGTGAGATCGCACCACTGCACTCCAGCCTAGGCAGCAGAATGAGACTGCCTCTTAAAAATAAATAAATAAATAAATAAATAAATAAATAAGCTGATTAAGACAGTGGTCCCCAACCTTTTTGGCACCAGGGACCAGTTTCATGGAAAACAGTTTTTCCATGCATGGGGGACTGGGGTGAGGGGATGGTTTGGGGATGATACAAGCACATTACATTTATTGTGTACTTTATTATTATTACATTATAATATGTAATGAAGTAATTATACAACTCACCATCATGTAGAATCAGTGGCAACCCTGAGCTTGTTTTCCTGCAACTAAGTGGTCCCATCTGGGGGGTGATGGGAGATGGTGACAGATCATCAGGCATTAGTTAGATTCTCATAAGGAGCACGCAGCCTAGATCCCTCACATATGCAGTTCACAATAAGGTTCATGCTCCTATGAGAATCTAATGCCGCCACTGATCTGACAGGAGGTGGAGCTCGGGTGGTAATGTGAGCAATAGGGAGTGGCTGCAGATACAGATGAAGCTTCACTGTTCACTCGCTACTCATCTTCTGTCGTACTGCCTGGTTCCTAACAGGCCATGGACCAGTACCAGCCTGTGGCTGCGGGGGTTGGGGACCCCCGAAATAAGGAGAACCCCCAAAGTAGCCCTATTGAATAGTTAATCTAGAGAGCTGAGTCAGGGACTTCTTTGGAAAATTTTGGATCTCATTTCTTGGTATGTCTGGCAGCATTCTTTTGTAACTTTAACTTATCTTTCAAGATAAAGTTGACACACTTCCACATATATAAAATCACTCCCTTCCAGTCTTGGAATCTGCTTTGTGAGATGCAGCTCCTCTGGCAAGTGAAGAGGTAGAAAGATGAATCAGGAAAAGGAAGGATGTGAGTGGCTGTGGCCTTTCTGAGCCCTTTGTTACTTTCTCGCCTTGGAGTTCCTGGATCATCCAAGACTGTTTCACCCTTCTGCACCTTTTGCAGAGGCCAGTATCCCTCCCAGGAACACCATGACACTCCATCCCTTCTTCCCATGGCGAGCTCTAGTTTATCCTTCAAAACAGCCCAGGGGTTTTCTGACCTCTCCAAGGCTGATGCCCCCTCTGTTTTCCCTTGCACTCACCAATTTCCCTACTCTTACCATACCTTACTGATCTTATTCCTGTGTCTCCTCCTACACTTGAAGTTTCTCAAGGGCAGCTGGAATCAATCCATTCAGGTTTTTTTTTTTTTTTTTTTTTTTTTTTTTTTTTTTTTGAGATGGAGTCTAGCTCTATCCCCCAGGCTGGAGTGCAGTGGCACAGTCTTGGCTCACCTTAGCCTCAACCTCCCAGGCTCGAGCAATCCTGCTATCTCAGCCTCCCGAGTAGCTGGAACTACAGGCGTTCACCACCAGCAGCTAATTTTGTTTATTTTTTATAGAGATGACGTCTTGCTGTGTTGCCCAGGCTGGTCTTGAACACCTGGGCTTGAGCAATCCTCCTACCTTGGCCTCTCATAGTACTGGGATTTACAGGCATGAGTCACCATGCCCTGCATAATAATTTTTTATATTAATTACATGTTGAAGTAATAAGATTTTGAATGTTTTAGATTACGTGAGATATATTCTTGTTTGTTTGTTCAGGCTGGAGTGCAATGGCGTGATCTCGGTTCATTGCAACCTCCGCCTCCTGGGTTCAAGTGATTCTCTTGCCTCAGCCTCCCAAGTAGCTGGTATTACAGGCACCTGCCACCGTGCTTAGCTAATTTTTGTACTTTTAGTAGAGAGGGGGTTTTACCATGTTGGCCAGACTGGTCTCGAACTCCTGACCTCAGGTGATCTGTCAGCCTCGGCCTCCCAAAGTGCTGGGATTACAGGCATAAGCCACCATGCCTGGCCAAGTGAAATACATTCTTTTTTTTTTTTTTTTTTGAGATGGAGTCTGGCTCTGTTGCCCAGGCTGGAGTGCAGTGGCCGGATCTCAGCTCACTGCAAGCTCCGCCTCCCAGGTTCACGTCATTCTCCTGCCTCAGCCTCCTGAGTAACTGGGACTACAGGCGCCCGCCACGTCGCCCGGCTAGATTTTTGTATTTTTTTAGTAGAGACGGGGTTTCACCGTGTTAGCCAGGATGGTCTCGATCTCCTGACCTCGTGATCTGCCCATCTCGGCCTCCCAAAGTGCTGGGATTACAGGCTTGAGCCACCGCGCCCGGCCGTGAAATACGTTCTTAAAAATAATCTTATCTGCTTGCTTTTACTTTTTAAAATGAGATGCCAGCTAGGAAGTTTAAAGTTACAAATGTGGTGGCTGCATTATCTTTCTATTGGACAGCACAGACCTGCTCGTTCTTAACCTACTGTTACTATAGCAAATCTTCACACAACCTCATTAATGCTCAAATATGATGTAAGCTCTAGGAGTGTCAATAATTCATTTAGGACGATGATTCATTGAGAATCAAAAGTACATCCAATTGGTTTGTAAAGGATTTTCCATGCAGGGTTAATAAGCTCGTGTACAGAAGTATGTTGAAAAGGGACTGAAGTTTTACTGGGATTTTCCAGGTTCGCTGTGATCCTGAGATTCAAGAGCTGCGTCAGTGGCAGAAGAAACTGCGCGAGGCCAAGCACATTCACCAGCGAGTCAAAATTTTCTGGGCCAAGCAAGAACAAAAAGGTAAGTTGCTGGATTCACAGTCCTTAGTTCATTCAAGAAAAGCCTGATTCTTATTCCAGGCTCAAGAAGGAGGCCCTCTGAGGTTTTGTAAGGTCCTTGTCTGCATGGAACTCAGCTTGTGCATGGGGGAAGTGGCTGCATATTAAGATTCTGCTGTGCAATGACAGAGGTGATGTGATATAATTTACAGGGCTATTTCTCTCCCACAGGGACAAATTCAATGTCTCCCTGTGTCTGCAGGTTTCTATTTTTGAAGCTACAAGACATCAAGAATAACCCATTATTTTGGAAACACAGTGTCTATCAGTATGATGGATAGTTATAGTTATTCTTCTAAGTTGTTGATTGTGTGTCTGAACTCAAATGGTATTTTATGCTTGTCTTCTCCCCTTTTTCGATGGCTAATTTTATGTGTCAACTTTACTGGGCTGTGAGATACCCAGATTAAACATTATTTCTAGGTCTGTCTGTCAAGGTGTTTCCAGAGAGATTAGCATTTGATTTGATTGACTGAATAAAGCAGATGGACCTCCCCACTGGGCTTCATCCAATCTGTTAAGGGCCTAAATAGAACAAAAAGGTAGAGGAAGGTTGCATGAACTCTGCCTGGCCATGTGAGCTGGGGCCTTGATCTCTCCTGCCCTTCCTGCGCCTGGCTTGCAGGCCTTCAGACCCAGGCTAGAATCTACACTATTGGTTCTCTGGACTTCCTGTGTCTCTGGCTTGCAAATGGCAGATTGTGGGACTTCTCAGTCTCCATAATTTCATGAACCAATATCTTCTTTTTTTTTTTTTTTTTTTTTTTTTTGAGACAGAGTCTCACTCTGTTCGCCTAGGCTGGAGTGCAGTGGTGCGATCTCGGTTCACAGCAACCTCCGCCTTCTGGGTTCAAATGATTCTCCAGCCTCAGCCTTCTGAGTAGCTGGGATTACAGGCATGCTCCACCATGCCTGGGTAATTTTTGTATTTTTAGTAGAGACAGGGTTTCACCATGTTGGCCAGGCTAGTCTTGAACTCCTGACCTCAAGTGATCTGCCCACCTCAGCCTCCCAAAATGCTGGGATTACAGGCATGAGCCAGCGCACCTGGCTGATATATTCTTTTTTTTTTTTTTTTTTTTTGAGATGGAGTCTCTCTCTGTCACTCAGGCTGGAGTGCAGTGGGTCGATCTTGGCTCACTGCAACCTCTGCCTCCCGGAGTCAAGCAATTCGCCTACCTCAGCCTCCCGAGTAGGTGGGATTACAGGCGCCTGCCACCATGCCTGGCTAATTTTTGTATTTTTAGTAGAGATGGAGTTTCACCATCCATATTGGCCAGGCTAGTCTCAAACTCCTGACCTCAGGTGATCCGCCTGCCTCGGCCTCCCAAAGTGCTGGGATTACAGGTGTGAGCCACTGCGCCCGGCCTGATATGTTTTCAAGTGGAGAAAATTAAATTGCAGAACTATAAGATTTTATTCATATAAAAAATATATGCATGGTCTGTAATCCTAGGACTTTGGAAGCCTGAAGCAGGTGGATCACCTCAGGTCAGAAATTCAAGACCAGCCTGGCCAACATAGTGAAACCCTGTCTCTACTAAAAATACAAAAATTTTCCAGGCTTTGTGGTAGGCACCTATAATCCCAGCTACTTGAACCCAGAAGGCAGAGGTTGCAGTGAGCCGAGATCGTGCTACTGCACTCCAGCCTAGGCAACGCAGCCAGACTCCGTCTCAAAAAAAAAAAAAAGAAAAAAAAAATATATATATATGCATGGAAACACAGAGATGCTAAACAGTCTGGAAGAAAATTATTGGTAGTTACCTTTGAGAATTTGGACCAGAGGGGTGGAACCACACTGTTGGAATCTTTTAGATAAGCACATAGTACTTTATGATTATGATTATGAGAAACTACAAAAAATAGTCATACATCCCTCAGCAGGCCACAGGCCATCATGCCTTGGGTCCTCTAACCTCCCCATCCTACCCTGTCCCCATCCTCCTTCAGTGGACTGCAGCCCCTCTAGTCTCTTTTCTGTTCTTGCAATTTGCCAATGCCTTCTCACCCTGGGACTCTGTACTTTCTATTCCTTTTCTTTTTTTTTTTTTTCCTGAGACAGGATCTCGCCCTGTCACCCAGGCTGGAGTGCAGTGGCATAATCTCGGCTCACTGCAACCTCCATCTCTGGGGTTCAAGCGATTCTCATGCCTCCGCCTCCCAAGTAGGTGGGATTACAGGCATTTGCCACCATGCCCAGCTAATTTTCATATTTTTCGTAGAGACGGGGTTTCACCATGTTGGCCAGGCTGGTCCTGAACTCCTGACCTCACATGATCTTCCTTCCTTGGCCTCCCAGAGTGCTGGGATTATGGGCATCAGCCACTGTGCCTATTGCTCAGCCAGGATGGAGAACCTAAAGAGATGTGAGATGCCCAGTTGTTTTGTGCTTTCTTTAAATGTGGAGTCCTTTGGGCCTGTGCTCTCAGCTCTGGACAAGTCCTGCTGATGCTTGACTGTACAGCTGCTGTTAGGTTGGTACAAAAATAATTGCGGTTTTTGCCATTAAAAATAATGACATTAAATGCAATTACTTTTGCACCAACCTAAATTTATTTACTGGACAATTGTCTTCCCCACTAGCATGTAACCTACATGAAATAATAGGACACATTGACATCATGGTACCTCCTGATGTGATGTGTCTGCCTGGTTTATCTCCTAGTACAGTGCCTGGCACAAAGTGAGTGGCAGATAAATATCAGTTGAACGAATGAATGAATGAATGCATGAATGAAGCTGTGAGTTTTAAACGAGTCAATAAAGAGAAAGTTCCTGGTGCAGAGTAGGAGCACATCAAATTGTCAGTCTAAGCTGCCCTTATAAAGAAGCAGCTTGAGCTATTACTGTTTGGCTGGCTCAGCACAGGCCTCTGTTCCATGCACCACTGCAGTTTCATTTGGCTTCAAAACTGGAAGGCAATCAGGGCTATAATCAGTTTAAAGGTCGAGGAAAGTGCAGCATGCCTGTTTCTTTCTGTTGGTCTGTATTCTTTGGAGTTGATTTGCGGTTGGTTGATTGACTGATTGGGCTCGCTCTGGAGCAGGGAGAATAGACCTGGAGTTCATGCCATTATCCAGTCCGCAGCAAAGGGGCTGGAGGGGCTGGTGGAAGCAATTCCACTTCCACCATCTGCTGCTGGCTTCCTGTGCCACCTTCCAAGGGCTCCGGAAGGAGTGAGCTGTGCTTTCCAAACAAGAAACACCTCTTCGGTAAATAACCCAGTGTGAACCCATGGATAGGTTCCTATTTACGCTGAGACCATGAAATGGCCTTTGGGCAAACAAGCCAATTCTAAAGTCTGTCCCCGGCTTTGGGAGTTGGCCAGACCTGCCCTTGGAATCCTGAGTACCACTTCTATCCATGTAAACCTGATCTAGTGAACTTCATGAAGCCTCAGTTTTCCCTTGTGCAAAATGGTAATGAGATAGTAATAATAGTGTCTGTCTCATACAGATGTTATTATAAGATTATAAGAGATGATGATCTTTAGAACAAGTCCTGGCATATGGTTCCCATAAATGTGAGTTATTGTCATGATAGTATTGTTAAAATATTTGTGTTGATTTCTTCCAATAGACTCCAAGCTCCATGGGCTTTCATGTAGGGACCGCGTCTGTCTTATTCATCATGAGCCTGGCACAGAGCAGGTGGTCTGTACATATTTAGGGGATGAAGCTCTGGGCTTCATTTTACATATGAAGAAATTGAGTTCCAGCAAGACTGAGTGACTTGCGCAAGGTCACACAGCAGAGGAGAGCCTGGGACTGGGTCCAGGACTTCCCTGTCTCTGTCCAGTGTTCTAACACATCCTGGAGGACAGATGCAGAGAGTTAAGACATTCTTTTAGGTTCTGCCCTCAGACCCAACTTCTCTGGAATCTTCTGGAACATGGCATACGACCTGTTCAATTTCCTATCTGGGCTTCAGGGTGCTTGCTGTTTGTTTTCATGGACTGAAGCCTCCAGCTAGGGGCAGAATTATGAGAAGCAGAGTACAACCTGCTGCACATCAAGCGAAGCAGAACTTCTTGTTCCCTTTAACTGTCGCCGAGTTGAATCATTTCATTAAGCTCATGCGCTAGAGTTACTTCCTATTTTAAACCTTATGAATCTGGATAGTGTGGGGGGTTACAAAATAAATCTCCCCAGCCAACGTGACCCCTCAATTAGACCTCAAAGGCTTCCAGTGAAGCAGTTTGAAAGCGGATGTTAAGCGCATGCTAGTTCTCCTTTAGACTTGCAATAAAAAATAGTGGGGTGATTGCAAATGAAAATGGTTTTTCAACTTCATTTAAAAAAAAAAAAAGCTCATCTATGTACAAATCCAGGAGACAGGCGTATCTTTTTAAGGTGTTGCCATTTTATCCACATTGTGCTCCGGCATTTACAATACAAATAGATTTTACCAAGTTCATAGCTTAGAGCAACCTTGGGCAGACAGGAGGTCTGAGGGAGAGTCACATCAGCTGTCGGGGTGGTGGAATCATGCTCATATATAGCCCGTCTCACATTACAGTGAGTCAGAGGCTGCCTGTCCCAAACAGTATTTTCTTCTAGGACGGAAGTGGTATGAAGTTATCTTCAAGTCTCTATCCATCAGGACAGATGCAGGAATTATTTTAAAATGTGAATGGTAAGAATTTCAGCCAATGTAGTTTAAAATAAGACGCCCAAGTCAATTTTGAGATGTAGTAAAAAAAATCGTGTCTCGATTAATAGCATATTTTTAGCCTCACATAGTATTTGTTTTCAAATGTGCTTTGTAATTGAATATCCATATTTTATTTGGACATCTAGTATGAGCAGGGAGAAAGAAATCATAGAAATTATTCCCATAAGATCAGATTAAATTACATATGTGTGTGTGTATATATATATGCACACACATATATATACATCATATATATAATCAGATAAATTTATCATATATGTGTTTGTGTGCGTATTCTTTACATAT